CAAAACAATGCACATTTCCTTTTTTTGGTAAAAGTGAAACTGACGTCTTGATACAGCTACTGACATGAGTGACGTGGGATGTTTAAGAAATCAAAAGCAGATAGCGTCCTCTGCTATTGAAAAAGAGTTTCACAATTCATTTTTCATCTAATATCTATATCATAACATTCCTACTGTAACTTTTCCTACAGTGATGCCTCATAACACTTTCAGTTCAGTTCAGTTACTACTGTGGACATAAATAGCATGAAGAAATGTCACCGCCACAATAAAAGGATGTGACAACATGAATTGTCCAGTCATTTTGAAGGTGGACTCCACAACAATTTGGTTAAGAGGAGCTGCATACGTTGGTTTTTAAAAAAATATATAGTTTATATAGACACATCAAACATGCATGATGATGAATCCTGATGAAGGTAAATTCAAAATTCACTCTCCTTTAAGTTCTCTTTTGGTCTTCACCAACTTCTGGAGGAAACATCTGAACTTTTTCAGCTGCTAAAGGATCCACTATGTTCTCGTATTTGTCGATACCATTGTCTCTCTGCTGTTTGGTGCTGGAAAGGTTAATGTACAGTACAATGTCTCAGAGCTTTTTTGCTCAAATTAGCTGCCTTGCTGAAAGAAGGGTTGATGAGAGCGGAGTTGCGGGCCCAAAAACCAAAAATAATGATCCAAAATAGACAAAAAAAGACTCCATAGAACTGCAGAGGATCTGAGATTTCTCAGAATTATCTCGTAGTAATTCACTATATAATTCACTTATACAGTAAGAAATATTGATTAGTGCAGGTTTAAAGTAATATTTAAGTTTGAATACTATACTTGCAAGCTAAGGTTATGGTTTAGGTTTAAAGTGAATAGACTGAGCGTAAAATATTACATTGTACATAATAGTATTAAATGTAGTAGAAAGCCTCATTACGAAGTAATACCTGAACCCAGGTCAGTGGATGTTGAAGGCAAACTCATCAACAATGCAACCACAGCTACATGCTCATCCCCTTTCTCTTTCTTTTTCTTTTTTTTAAATTTAATTTAATTTCCTGGAGTCTGGGCTGTTTCCTCTAACCTCCCCTCATTAATACCATTTTAACATCAGTTGAGCAGTTTCTTTTTTCCCCCATTCAACTCTCCAAAAATGTCCATTTCACATGGGCGAGGAGAATATTGGCACTTAGTGGTGAGCTCACACTCTAGGGCTGCATATCGTGTGGTTTAAACCACATTACTGAGTGTTGTAAACCTCTGTTTTCCTGCTCTGGCTCACTTGCACTTATCTGGCATCACTGTGGTATCTGATTCAATTCCTTTCTATTCCAGTGATAGAAACTAACTACTTTAAACTACTTTATAGCCATTTGCTGTCTCTCTCACACCCATCTGCCCTTGTAGCGAATGATGTTTTGATCTTCTTTGCGAGGCCCATATACCCTTTCCATACACCCAGGAAACAGAGAGAATGTTGATCGCTGCCACAGAGTTGGCTAACTGCTTCAATCTGTCCTCTGCAGAGAAACTAAATTGACTTCTCTCGCCTTCTATTGAGTTAGTGGCCAGATCCAGTTTCTCCCTCCTTCACTTTTCTTTCTTCTGCCCTCTGTCAAAACCCCTCTCTATCTCTCACCCTCTCTCTCTCTCTCACTCTCTCTCTCTCTCTCTCTCTCTCTCTCTCTCTCTCTCACACACACACACACACACACACACTCTCTCTGTGCCATTAGCAAGTGGCTGACTTGTGAATGTCAGTGGGTTCATGATGATGGCTCAGGGAAGTACAAGCAGTCTCATGGATACTGCCTGATATTCCCTTTGGTGTGTAGTGCCCACAGGAGTGATATTACAGAACTAATGGGTTTACTGCATTGCCTTTGCCTTGTTTCTCTGTAGATCCGTGTGTTGGCTGCTCTACAGTGTCAGATGTAAAGTGCGCTGAAAAACATCAAATGGCGTGTGCCAATAAGCTGCCATCCACCAACAGGAGTTAAAATCCTGACAAAACAGAGTTACTATTGATGCCACTAAAAGACTCCTGGTAGAATACTGCCAGGTACTTAATGCAAAGTCCAATCAAAAGCTGTATTTATCTGTGCTGCTTGGGTACAGAACGCCTTCTCTGCCGCTGTTTCCCGGCTCCAACACACAAAAGTTCCAACGAAACAAGACACTTTATTTGGTTTTGTTTTGTTGTGACACATCTTGATGATCCACTGTTTGTGCCAAATGCATAAAGTTATTTTTCGCATGAATGTGCGTTTGCAATGGGGAGTGACAAAAACCGACAAATTATGTAGTTTCCAACTCCTCTGTAAACTTTGTTTTCTTTGGCTTTTGATTCTCTACAAAAAATCCAAACAACTAGATATCTCATGACGACGACATTCAAGATTTGAGAAACTCCTTACAGATGTAACACTGCCTCTCTGAGTCATTCACACTTAGCTTGCTGCAATGAAGGTGGTGCACCCTCAATTGGTTATTTATTTATACTAATACATTTCACTGTGCATTGTACTATGTATAACTGTGCATGTGACAAATAAAACCTATCTTATCTTATCTTATCTTATTTTGTCTCTGACCCCAGGATGTAAACAAACCTTCATTGTGTTATATATTTCATTTAGTACTCCTGTAGTTTACACGCCCTAAACTCTCTCAGCTTGTGTGGGTTCAGTTTTCTCATTTCAGACTTAATATGTTTTCAGTGCACCTGCTGTAAAGCAACCAAACAAAATTATTTGTTGCTGTTCCACAAAACCTGATATTTTATGATTTTCATCAGATTACATTTCAACAAAAATAAAAAAATAAAAATATATATATATATCTCCTCTAAACTAGCATCCCATTTTGGTGTAATTCCGAATTTTGAGTGACATAATTCACAGATTTTACAGTCAATTGTTGGCTGTAAAAACCTTTCTGGACTTCTGAATAACAAAACATTTCGTTCGGCGATACGATACATATCATAATACAAGAGTTACAATCCAATATATTGCTATATACTGTAAGCAAGGCAGTATATTGTGATTTAGAAAAATAGAAAATGCAATTTTAGGAAAACTGTCAAAGTCTAAAGTTAAAAAAGTTTACTTGTACCAGAGCAGTGGGATCTGCTTTTGTGTTTATCACAGTCTCTGTAACATCCAACATCATAGCCCTCAGTTTACGTTATACATCACTTATATCAAGCAGTTGGGGGTTTCAACACCAAAATCAATACATTATTTTTAAGAATCAATACATTATCATTAAGTAAAATATAGCAATATGATATTTTTTGATATCTTCTTACACCCTCTTAATTTGAAGACAAAATGTGGACCTAATCAGCTAAGTGGACAGGCTGTGATGCCACTGTGTAATATTGGCATATTGCGTAACTTATAGGTTTTTATTAATACAATATGTGTGCCAAAGTGAATTGAGGGTCGCTATTAATGACGTATAGCTGACTTTATCAATGCTTATTTTTTAAAAACCATAAAGTAATTGTCAGACACAAAACTGACACACATTTCCCTGCTCAAGTTACACTTGACCTTCACACCTCGTTTGTATAATTACACATCTAAATTCAGCATCTATCGCTTTGATATCTAGGACACTCTTGCACTGGATGATTGAAATAAGCTATAAGCTCTCACGGCTGTAACGCCACCATTTTTACTGCAGCCTCTCGCCCCTGCGCAGGGTGACAACAAGAAAGTGGCAGCTTTCAATTTTATCGTAGAGCATCAACATACTTCTCGTCGACTCAGATACATGTGCTGCAGTATGAGTGTGGACCATGTGAAAGGTCCATTGTTAGTTCAGAAAACAATGATTGAATGGAGAGTACTAAACAGTAGCAGCATATTAAGCATCCCTGGCTGCCCGTTGAGACTTCAGTGTCTCAGCTGCATTTTGTGTCAGCATTTCTTGCATCCTGAAACTTTGGGTGAGAGGATTAATCAAGTGTCAGCTCCTCTAAACCAGAACAACCGGCAGCTGAGTGGCAGCAGCAGACCTGGGATCACTTAAAGCCTCAGCACTGGGATAGCTAATGATGCACTGAGCTCTAGTGTGTGTGTGTGTGTGTGTGTGTGTGTGTGTGTGTGTGTGTGTGTGTGTGAGAGAGAGGGAGAGAGTGTGCGTGTGTGTGTGTGCGTTACAGCAAACCCTGATATTCAGTGAGTTTGTCAGGGACCACAGAAGCAACTGCATTGCACTTGCTGCAATTTTTTCTTTCCATGAATATGCAACATTTGGAGGACTTTTGAGATATCCATATTCAGATAAGACACTGAGATCAGACAAGTGTTCTGTGGCATCCGAGGGCCTCTCTGGTTTTGATGGAATTGTTTGGAAACAGCTTACGCAACCTGTTTTTCCACCATAAATGTGTCCCTCAAAGGATGAAATTTGATTTTTACGCTCTGCAGACTCTGGTGTCTGTTAAATAAATACCATTCACGCGGGGTAGACAATAAAAAGGCAAGACACCAGTTGTGTCAGTTGAAGAAAATGAATCAGTGATATGTATATATGAATATGTATATGAATATTGTGATAATTGATTTATTATTAATTGTGATTTCCAGTGAACACCAAATATCAATTCTGCCCTCTCAAAGATAGGTTGATATGCTGTTTTAATCTGTTTTCCGACTGTCAAATTAAGTAATTTTAAGACGTCACCTGTCAAATACAATCAAAGCAGTTTGATTGCCATCCCTGTTCTCTAAAATATCACTCTCACTTTCTGCAAATATCAAAATCATATGTACAAAATAGTGAATGCTAACTACTATATATTATCTAGAAGATAATAAACAGATCAGTGCAGAAATAAAGAGCTGTTTTAGAAAACATTCTGTCTTATTTGTCATGTGAGTTATGCAAACTAGACATTTATATATATGTTATTTTATAATATTTTAATAATTTTAAATTTTTTTTTAGTATAGTTTTGGTGATCTACAGTGACAGTTTGGTAAAGTGACACTCACCATGATGGAGTACACCAGTGCGACAATGGACAATGCTGACGGGCCAGACGGGGCAGAAGCAGGACATGATGACGAGGATGAGGTAGTCCTTGGGCTTCGGGGTCTCCTGCACGGTCGCGTTCCCGGTGGAGGAGCGGCTCAGGCTGACCTTGGACGGGGAGAGGGGGGCGGCGGCCAGCTGACCGGCGGAGCCCGACCTCACGGCGACGCTGTGGCCGTTCTGGTCGGCCTCCAGACCCTTATCGCCGCCCATGTTGACCGTGAAGGAGGTGGACATCTTCATCCCGTTCCCTCCGGGCTCGGTGGTCAGCGCCAGGAGTTTCTCCGTCTCGTGGGAGTCCGCTGGCGGCGCGCCTCCTCCGCCCTCACCCAAGTTGGACTTGAGGAAGTCGGTGTCCGTGTTGATGGCCATGTTCAAGTCTCAGTTGTGTGGAATTAGATCAGAAAAGGGAGTATTTAAAAAAACAAAAACAACACTTAGTTTCAAAATTGATTATAAGCCAGGAGGCCCCGACATCCCGTAATACAAAGCAAGTTTTTACAACTAATCTTTGGGATCAACTTTGATTTAATAACCAGGAGTGTGATCACAAGCCGAGGTGTGGTGGGATAATAAAAATAAGATTATCTGAAAGATGATGTGCTTTTAAAAAAAGAAAAAAAGAAGAAGCTCTGCTGTAACAGATCAAACCCTTAAAAGAATAAAATCAGAGAGGAGATGAAAAATTCCTGCACATAGGCTATCATTCTTCCTCTTCAATCACTTTCCTTCACCTTCCTTCACATCCGCCGATTGACTCATTTCCGAAGGGGGGGCTCAGATCAGAAAACCTCTCCTCCTCTCTTATACATCCAAGGAGGAACAATTCATTCAGAGGAGCTCCCGTCGCACGCCTTCATCCAGTCCCACCACTTTTCCTTTGAGTCTGTCTGTTCTTTGAAAAGTAGACTGAACGTAGTCTCTTTCTTTCTCTCAAGAAAGGAGGATGAAGCTGAAACGTCTCTCTCACAGCAGACCCCCCAAATGAGCCACCTTCTTCCCCTCTCCTACTCTACTCTCCACGCCGCAGCAGCACAGTGACTGTACACAACTTGGGACCAGTGTCAAGTTATCTACATTACAACAGCACACTTCCGGTGATTAAACACAAAATAAAAGCTTCATTTGCCAACGAGTGGCTTTTGATTATACAGTATGTGACAATAATTAACCGATACATGATATACTCTATTTATCATTTGTATTATTTAAAATATACGTGTTGTTGTTCTTATTAAACCCTTTCTGTGTAGGGCAGCAGCTGTAAGGGATCCATAGCAGTGGAATAACCATTAATTGGGAATCAACATTGTCCTGATTTAAAACACTTTAAGACTTATTTTTATAAAGACATTTAAGTTTTTTCTTCTATTTCTTAACTGTCCTGTATTTATTATTCTATTTAATATAGTTATTATTATATTTTAATTTATTTATTTTGTGGCATGTACACTTCATCTGGTGTGTCTTTTTTTCTCCATATACAGAATTCCTCGGTAAACACTTGTGCTCATATTAAAAGGAAACGTATGTGAAATGACAAAATACTACTCTGCATTTATACGGTTTCTGTGTATATAGCTCAGATTGTAGAGGCTGACTGAAAATACACCTCCTTCTGTTAGTCACACGTCAAGTCTGAACCCACAAAACTCCCAATGTTATATGAATGGGTAAAAATGCAACATAAAATGAATGAAAGAGAATCACAGTATACATTTATAGCAAAGCAATCTGTTTAACAGTAAAAGTACAGGCTAAAGACCACCACAAAATCATATACATTGGTTTATTACCTTCAAAGCCTGACATTTCTAGGTTTTTATTTTGAATCCACGATGCTCGTACTTCCGGTGTGAAATTGGCTTTCTCTGGCAAACTTGACTCATCAAATGTTGGAGCAGGGCAGTCTGGCGCGGAGCCTCCTTCACCACCACCACCACCTCCCCCTCCTCCTCCTCCCTTTCTTCCCAACATCAGCACCAGCGGTTTATGGAGGAGAGCCAGCTATGCAGAATTCAGGCTACTGTATCCACGTCGTGTTTCAGTCCGGCTGGTTTCTAGCAGCCTTACATCACAAATCTCTTTTTTTAATTGCATTTTCTAAACAGTACTTTGGATATTCAGCCTACTGGATCTGATAAGCAATAAATCCCATATAGTGTCCAATAAGTGTTGTATTAAACCACGTTTTAGTCTCCTTGTTCAGCTAATTGCCTCAGACCAGGCACTGCTGCGCATTAGTAAAGCTGGTCGTACTGCATGCTATGGCTTCAATGTTTAATCACGATTTTTTTCGTGTTTCTTTTTTCCTTTTGATCTGCTCTTATTGATTTTGCTCATCATTAGACTGGTGCATTAGCGTCAGCCTCATTCCCCAAAGTGACTGCTACACTGCACTGTGACCTGTGGTAGTGATGAGGAGGAGGGTGGGGGGGATTCCCTGAATGAAACTGAGCTCCCGCTCTGATGTCATGCTATTGATCTAATATTTTCACAGCACAAACATAAGTACATTCAAATGTGTTTTTCCAGTGCATTCCCCTAAACTCCCCCTGTGCCTCATTCCTTCCATCTGTTTTTGCTTCTCTCACTGTCAAAGCTTTGCCCCTCCCCACTGTGAAACAAACACTCTGCAGTATTCTCTTTCAGGATGTACAAAGGAAGCAGTCGATGGCCTACAGCACAGATCATTTAGCCCGTGTTTATGAGCCCCTAGACTCTTCAGGAAATTGAGAATGCTGCTCAGGGCTCAGGGTAATTTCTTCAACAGGGTTCAGGTTGAAACAGAATAATTGTGAGCAGAGCTCCACCTTGTGGACAGGCAATGTGCTTACAAGACTCAGATAAGTGACTTGGTATCATTTTAAAAAAGGTTTTTTTAGTACTAGTACCTATTAATAACACATAGGAAACAACATAGCCACTACTTCAGTTCTTTGATGTTATTTAGGAGAATGAGTGGCAGTAGTGTTTTGGAAAAAGCTGCAATGATGGTGGTGCCATTGGCTCGTGTAACATCTTGTGGGACATAAACACAACAATGTATCAGTAGCAGTCAGTCAGGGGTAGATGACTGGATGCATGGTTTTTTTGAACACGCGACAAATACGCTTATTCGGTCTGTTTCAGAGAGTTAGATAAGAAGACTGACATCACTCTGATAAATATGAGGTAAATATGAGACTACAAATGAATGAAATATTAATCAAACTCAATACATTGTAAGGGTGAACAGTCCTTTATTTAACTTATATAGATTGTTTCAGTCATGGTTTGGAGGAAAGAGAAAGACAGGTTGAAAGGTTTATGATTTCATAAGGGAGTGACAGTCAATTCAGGGAGTTGGGTTTGTTGGTTGAAGGTAAAATGAAACATGGAGATCAGTGATTTCAAAGCTTTACTCTTCTTCTTTAGCCCATCACTTCTCTTGTTCTCCAACGTCTGCTGCAGTCTCTCCCGCTCAGAACATGCCCTTGTACTTGTTCTTGTCCTCCTGGTTTTTCTCTTCCATGCGCATGTTGAGCACCCCCAGCTCCTTCTTGACGGCCTTCTTCATGCCGGGGTCCAGGTCCAGCACCCTGCTGAAGTCTTGCCGGGCTTCTGCCTCATTCCACACTTCCATGTGGGCCTTGCCTCGAAGGTAAAAGGCCTTCACTGCACCTAGAGGACGTAATACAAACACATACATGTTTGACGGCAGGAACTCCTGTGAGGGACATCTACAGGTTTATAGCAAGGGTTCCCAAAATATAGATGCACAATAGGCCACAGACCTCTATTTTGTCTTAAGGAATCCCCTTTTTTTTATTGTTAAGTATAGAGATAAAAGTCTTTACAGTTTGTCAAACTAAGATCATTATAAATTACAATTAAAACAGATAACCTTATTTGTTTCCTTGTTCAAAGAAGTGGCAAAAATGAAACTTTGTTATGTTTTAGAAATACCTACGTAACCCCTCACTCCATGCCGGTAAATGGTAAATGGACCTGTACTTGTATAGCGCCTTTCTGGTCTTCCGACCACTCAAAGCACTTTTACACTATGTGCCACATTTGCCCTTTCACACACCGATGCTGTGCATTGGGAGCAATTTGGGGTTCAGTATCTTGCTCAAGAATACTTCGACACGGGGATCGAACCAACAACCTTCCGATTAGGGACAACCCGCTCTGGCTCTGAGCCACAGCCACCCGGTGGAGTCACACACACCCTACATTGTCAGTGCCAAACCTGGGTGCTGGTTGATAATGTCGCTGGTGTGCTCAATGACCTCGTAGTATTCTTCCATGCGCAGCAGACACTGGCAGTAATTGAATGTTAAGGTGTTGGCCATCTTCTCCAGCTTCAGCCACGGGACCTCCCATGCTTTCTCCTGAAGGAGGAAGTAGTTCAGATCCATGTCTTTAAATACTGTTTTATAAGAGCAAGTACAATTCTGTTTTGGACCACTTGTTTGATGCAATCACCTTTGTTTGAACATTCTTTAAGCAGATGATGGCTTCCTTGTATTTCTGTGTGGCCTCTTGGTACTGTCCTTGTTTGTACAACTTGTTCCCCTGACCATGCAGCACAGGAACGGCCTTCAGCCTCTCTTGATCACTCATAGCCCACGTCTCCCTGTTGTACTCACTGGGGTGGTGGACCTGTCAACACACACATATATATGGGAGTTGGGTTTTTTAGTTTTCCGTCAATTGTAGTAGTTTAAAACACTATTGTCACGGAATTGTCCTGGAACACTACACCTCATGTGTTACTTCCTTGCTGAGGAAGCTTCCCTTTGACACAGATCCACATACATATTTGTCTCACCCTGATCAGTTCCAGGATAAAGTAGAGGGGTTTTGGTTCCTTCATCAGCTCATCCAGGTCGTCATAGCCAAGGCTGTGGTACGCGAACATGTTGGCCATACCACATGTATGGATGTGCCAGTCAACTGGGTCTTTTCCCTCTGCTATGCGCCTCATACTCTTGGACACAAGTGGATAAATCCCAGTGTGCTGGAGAGAACAGAGGAGCCAACATTCAAAAAAGAATGACTACATAATAAGGATCTTACTCTGTGACTGAAAGATGACAAAGATTTTAATATTTGATCCTCTGAAGAAAAAGTGGATGACCAATTTGCCTCTAATGCCTCACTATCATGTAACTGCAGGCTTTAAAATCTTATGAATTGTTCCATTGTTTGCTGCTTATGAAGCTGCTCCTGGATTTGTCTCTAGATGACATCATTACTCTCTGTTTTAGCTTTTAATCTTATGGAGAGATTAAATTACAAACCCCAAACCAAACCTGAGATCAACAATATTAGATGTCATGTCATTTTTATTTATATAGCCTAATATCACATATCATAAATTCACTCTACAATCTGTACAGCATACAACACTCTCTATTCATATCCTCTTGATTAGACAAAGACAAACTCCCTGAACAAACTCCTTTAACAGGATTAAAATGGAAGAAACTTCTTGGAAGAGGAGGGATCCCTTTCCCAGGATGGAAGACATACAATAGATGTTGTGTGAACAGAATGGCAAAATTACAATATGTTAAATGAAGATGAAAAGAATTATAGATAGACTGTAAACTTATATAAGGAATACACATGTTTATGGTGGGGTTTCCTTTCATTCTTACCTTACACCCTTATCAGTGTCCTTAAGGACCAACCCTGTTACCTTGTTAACTGAACATGTTTCTAAATTTATATAAAGCTTACCACTAGAACTGAGAAACTAAAAAAAATGTATTATTTGGACTTTGTAAAGATTTAGTGGTTGAATATGCTTTTTCACCTCCAACCTCATCTTTTCTCTTACAAATTTTACAAGTTATCATTCCAAGCGTGACAGGAATGAATGAAGTATTTAGCATTTTGTGATCACATATTTACATTTTGTTACCTTGAATTAATAAGTTAGAAGTAGAAGTAGAAACAAGAAAAAATACCCCTTGTGCATAGACTTGGTTGGTCAAGAGTAACATGGTGATATACATGATTCTCTTCATACTCTACATCTGATCTCATTTTACATTAAACTGATTACAGATTAATCATTTAAACATAAATGAGTTGTTTCACATTCTCTCCGGTCTATTTCCTCCTGGTTTAGTATGGCAACTTTGCCCTCCGCTGGATGGGAGTGATACTGCACAACATATTCAGCGGAGCGTGTGGTGCAGCCATGTTGTTCAGAGGAGTGAATAAGCCCCATCAAATCTAATCAGAGTGGAGGGGAGTCAGTAGTGCTGATTCAGCACGAATCAGAGCCGATTAGGGAAAAGTGAGGCTGCTGCAGATTAATGACAGTATGCCTCAACCCATCTGTCTCTGACACACACACACACACACACACACACACACACACACACACACACACACACACACACACACAAAGACCAGACATAACAAGTTATAGATTACATATACATCAACATATATTCTAAGAAAGTATGTTTGCTTCATAACAATATATATATGTATATATATCAGATATCTGTATGAGACAACAGCTTTCATAACAGGACAGAAAATGTTCAGGGAATTCAAAGTGAAACTAAACTGAAATTGAATCAGTGTTATTAATACATGAATGTTTGTTATAAACCACATATATTATTATGATGTGAGTGTTTCTACTCAAGTTCTTCTAAGTAACCCATCCAGCTCTATTACATTATTTGTTATTATCTGGCTTTTATCATAATTATCATAATTTTCTGAAGGGGAGAGTTAGGTGCGATGCCTGTGCTTTATGCCTAGGTTTTAAATGTATAATGGAGCACATAAAACTTCTCATTGAGTTGTTTTGTTGCTTATTATTGTAAGCAGGGTCTATAACTTCCACATCTGCAACAGTCAAACTCCTTGGAAGAGATTTGTACTGACAAACTATAATGCACTGTGCTTTAAATCAAACGAGAAGTAACACAAAAGAAAAATAAAACACAAACTAGCTGTTTTTTTGTAGCACTCACAATAATGTCACACCAGAATTCAGCGACCTCACCAATCCTCATGGACGCCAACAGGGTCTCCCAGATGTCCAGTTTAAACATGTTGCCGATCACTATCTCCATGGGAGTCCCCACCACTTTGCTGTCATCTATCACTGTACGATCATCGTCACACAGCTGGGTGCGGAAGTGGAATGTCACCTGGAGTGAAATGAACCATATTGAGACAAGAACTACATACAAAAAAAACCTTGTTTAAACTATACACTGTGGACAAGCATTTAGCATTTAATGAAATTACATGAGGGAAAGTTGTCTCAAGTTAAAACTCACTGACAGGCAAAGCTATGGTGTTTTGTTGAAATATGGCAGAAAACACATCAGTCTAAACAAAAATGTTATGTCATGAGCTTCACACAGCTCAGTTATTCAACAGGGCAGACAGACAAGAGGAAGGACAGACATACCAAGGTTGTGTGGTTGTATAACGTCTAAGGAAAGTGAAACCATCCCACAGAACTGTGTGCACACTGTGGTGCAAAAACTGCTCTTTCACATATTTCACAATGTCAGTGCCTTCCTTTTACAGGACCAGCAATTTTATAAAATTATAGGATGATGTCAAACACCGCTAGGGAACCACCGGGAGCAGTTAAAAGTAGATATCCAAGAAATATGAAGCCATTTTTTAAATTCAAGAAGGGTTTCATATTTCAAACAAGGTAATATCTCAAAGAAGGTGAGGCTTAAGGTTTAATTGTATCAAACCTGATGCAGATGGCTCAAAGGGCATTGATTAAGATCTGAAAATATTGTTCTCATTAAAGGTGCATTGAGTGACAACCTCTACTGCCTGCCAGTGGGAATTTCAACAACATAAATGTGCCTCCTTCACACATCCTCTTCAGTTGCAAAGGCTTAACATTGTCAGGAAAATGAAATCCATAAATCTCAAGTAATGAAGCCATGCATATTGAACAAAAACCCCTTTAAATATTTGCAAAATATATCGCGGTCATGATTTTCAACAGGCCAATAATAGTCTTATTATTTGTCTCTTACTCATTGCTCCTTCAAGTCTTGTACATAATAAGAAGGATCCTCGAGGACATACAACAAACACAGCTTTATTGGATCATTTATTAGAAAAAAATGGCACATCTAAATAAATAAATAGAGCCTCTGTTTGGGCATTCTGTATTTTTCTTGATGCTTTGCAACTATTCTGCCACAGTCTTGAGAAAAACTCCATGGTCATATGATACTGTGCGCAGTTTGATAATCCAGTGCATATGTTAAATTAAATTATTTCTTCCTTTAATTAGATTTAGAACATTAAAACTGGCCTTGTGAGATATGTATTTATTCATCCTCTCCTCAATTTGTCCTAAAGAAAGACCGATACTGTTTATCTGAAATATGGTTCAATTAGAAGTATTTACTGCACTGTAAATGGACTGTATTGTGAAATAGCTGTGGACACATATTTGGTGTATGCCTATCAGTGTTGCTCTATATTTATCAGAAAGTGTAAATAAATTTCTGAAGGACTACCGTACCTTTGCCCCAGTAGTGAGTTTTGGGATGTCTCCGGTCCCTCCATACAGGATGGTTTTCTTGATTCCCTCTGAGCCCAGCAACATCGTATCATGCACGTCCGACATCTTTTTGTTTAGTGTATGGTATTATATAACCGTGAATATATATATATATATATAATGAGTAAGTCTGTGTGTATGATGTGTGGAGTACAACATGTATAAAAGGGTATGGATGACTTGGAGGTGCTGTTCCTGGTGGATTAGCTTAGGCAGAGATAATGAGATTAGAAACTTCTCCTTATGTTTCATCATCTCTGTGTCGCTTTGTGTATCAGTCATTATCAGCACTTTCTCGAACACTGTCGAACCCCAGAAGCATCCAGAAAGGAGGAGAAACGGAGAATCGGAAAGAAAGAAACGTGAAGTGGATTCAGTTTTTGGAAGTGGCTTATATAGATTGTCGTGTCGTTGTCTGTGTGGGTGATGACTCCAACCTATCAAATGTACCATGAGAACAGAATGAAAGTGTGTGTGTGTGAGGGAGAGAGACAAAGAAAACAAACACAAATACGTCTGTGAGAGTAGGACATGGTTTCCATTCCAGAGGAAATTTCCTGGATTTATATGGATGTGGTGATCTGAACAACGCAGAGAATACTGAGAAATGGTGGAGCAGACAATTACTGTATGGACTCCTTGACCTTGTCTATTAAACATCTGTCTCCCATCTGGGCAGTGTGTGTGTGTGTGTGTCTGAGTAATCCAAGGCTCCTGTAGTGTTTGCTAACAAAGTCTGCAAGCAGTTTGAGGGGGCAATTATTCTCAAACATTACCCAGTGTTAATGCCTTATTCCGTACTAATTGCACAAATAGAAAACCCCATAACTGCACCTTGGCACTGCTTGCAATTGTATAACTTTACAGCTTTGTGTTTCCTCTGTGGAGCAACATGGAGGGATAGGTATTTCACCATGAATTATCAGGCAAGGCTGCTGTCTAATCTCTATTCAAATAAGACCTCTATATCCTTGGAAATATACTATCAAGTTTGCCTTTTTTCCACTGATGTGACAAACAGGATTGGGCAACAGTTTGGTATGTACTTGGCAGCTCTCCAAGTACAGGCCATAAACACATTGCATGCTCTCTTGTGGAAGAGGTTGGTAGTGCAGCAGGAGTTGGCCCTTCTCATCTTGACCATTTGAAATAGTTGCTAATGTGGACCAGTAAAGCCTTTAGACGTGTGATACTGGGCTACACAAATGATACTTTTGAATGGACTTGGAGATCTTCTCACTTTATGACCCTGCAGAGGCAGTAGCACGGTGAGGTGGTGGATTCATAACCAATACCATTATAATATTAATAACAGTATGCTTAAATAATTAATATAACAGGTAAATTGTTTCTCCTCTTTTGGGATTTTGCTCCTCCATCCCTTTCTGTGGAAACACTGGGCAAATGGTGGGGTGCTTCTCTTGGATGACAGGTTTGTGTTGCTATAGTTACAGCCTTTTACATCATTATCAAATCTGTGAGTTTAAAAGAAACTCAAAAAAGTGTGATTAATCCTTATTGTTGGACCCCTGTCTGTAATTAGAAACGTGAGAGAAGAGGCTTGTGCTAAATATGGTCTTGGTTTAGTGTTTTTACATTGTGTCAGCATCCTCCCTGGTCTGGTCATTTTTCTTACCTGTGAGGGGAGGGAGAGCAGCAATCCATCCAACCTGTTGGAGAGGTAATACTATGACAATGGTGTGTGTTGTAACTCAGGCCTTGTGTCAGAGTGACTCATAATGCTTGCGTCACAACGCCTACACCTTTCTCTAATGCTCTGCCTATGCGTGTCTGGCTGCATTTGTGTGTGTGTGTGTGTGTGTGTGTGTGTGTGTGTGTGTGTGTGTGTGTGTGTGTGTGTGTGTTTGTGCGTGCATATCTGAATTTGCTGCATGTACATTGTAGCGTGGGAAATCAAATGTGCCAGTTTACTGAACCGCATACACATACGTCTTTGAGAAAAGGTCCAGCTACACGCAGCCCTGCCAGTGGGAGGTAGGCCTACACCCCCGTCTCCATCATATTTAGCCCTGCTGGAAACCCGTCGCTGATGCATTAGTTCCACTTTAAGCAAGTCATACTCTATTTCTGGAAAGTACAGTCATGGATTTCCTGGGGAGGAGCTGTTCCCTGTGTAAAAGCCATTCATTCATATACATAACGCATGGGGGAGGGCTCCTTCCATGACGCACAACATATACGCACATAGCATAATGTTTATGAATGTGTAAACCTTTTGTGCTCCTGCAGTGGGAATGAGGTTCAGAGAGGGTGAGAGAGAACAAGGGAGGGAGGGAGAGAGAGGGAGTGAGAGAAGAAAGAGAGAGAGAAAATCCTTCTTTCTCTCCCTGCTGTCAGATTGACATGTAGAGCTGACCTAGCAGGAAGGAAGACGCACATGCAATAAGAGCAGCGTGGGGGTCACGATTTAGGGTTGCAAGGTCACCCCACCCCCCCACCCCTGCAACCATCAAACACACACATATATACACACACACACACACAGTTGTGGAAAGTATTTTTTAAAAACAGATTTACTCCACTACATTTATTTTGGCCTACAAAGGGCATAATTAAACACAGTGCACTGTTATACAGTAAGTTTAACAGTATTGTGTGTAACATGGTTAAAAGTAGCAGCACAATGACCAACTCACTAAAATATAATTACCTAAATATAATTCAACTAACACAATCAGAGGCCTTCTGTTTCCTAATGTATGTGGCTGCATAAGGCTGGTCAGTGTATTTCTGAAACTTTAAGTAAATGTAGCTGATTATACTTACTTATTTATACTTCCCCAAAATGTCTGACGTTGACTTGATGCCTGTACACTAAAATCTGATGTTCAAACGCTCCCAGGGCAAGCTAGATTTAATACATAAGAAATTCAAAAGTAATTTGCTGTCTAGCAAATGTCACCGGCAAAGAAACCTGAATCCCTGGTAGAGTGGACTTAGAGAGCGAGAGTTTTCACTAGCATAGTGAAAGTTTTGACAGCAAACATGGTAGCGTGCATTTTTTGGATGTAAACCGGACCCTGGAGATCTTCCCACGATCTATTATGTAATGACAATGTGAACACACTGATATCACATTTCACAACCACTAATGTCAGCCAAGTCCAGTCACAAGCTAACAAGTTAACAAACAACATAAACAAAAAAAAGATGCAAACTACACTTTTCTGACACATCTGCAAGTCGGCAATTTTGGTGCACAGCATTTAAGCTATAGCTGAATTTCTCCAGTGTTTTCTCTGACGCTAGCCATCTTGATGTGCATGGCTCTTTCTGGGAAAATGTTTAACAAAATATTAATAATAGAGTATTTTTTACATACAACATGTCTGAAGTGGAACTGTTATTGGATCGAACAGCTGAGGATTGACAGGAAAGTGGGGGGAGAGAGGGAATGACATGTAGCAAAAGGCCACATGGCCACTGCAGCAAGGACTCAGCCTCGGTACGTGGGGCGCTAGCTCTACCAGGTGAGCTATAGGGCATCCCATAACTTTTACTCAAACTTGTATTGATTTAAAAATATTCACAATTGACCTAATTAAAGTTGTTATGTTGTAAGACACTTACATATTAACATATCCAACAGCTGGTGCCCTGATGAATGTAAGTCTAATATTCATTGTTCTTCTATATGTTTGGTCTCCCCCAATTCCTGAGGGAAATATCTGGCGCTTTAGTTGCTAAATGCTCTACTATGTTCACCAGCTGAGAGGAACTGCAGTCAGGTGATAACTCTCTGTGGATTTGTCTCTATGAGTAAACCTTTTCACATGTAATTATTCACGTGATCATTATAGATACACTAGGGCAAGTTTGAAAACAATTTTGAAAGCATTTAATAGGCTACTTGTAATTTTAAGTAAAGTATCTGAATAGTTCCTACACCGCTGGCCCACACACACACACACACACACACACACACACACACACACACACACACACACACACACACACACACACACACAGACAAGTCACTAAGTATACACCTCCTCTGTGTCCTTGTGTTGTGTATTTCTTATGCTGAGGAGAAATGACAGAGTGGAGGGCTACACAGTGAATCACAGCCTCCCTGGCTACTTCCATTGTGACGCGTATTACATGCATACACACACACACACACACACACACACACACACACACACACACACACACACACACACACACACACACACACACACAAACACACCTGACAGCCTGACAAGGCTATTCCACAATTTCTGCTTTGCTCATTTTGGTCTAGGAAGGCCACGGATGAAATACTTAGAGATAGATGTAATTTCAAGGAGTCTGTGTTCTGTGACTGTGTGAAAATGTTCTCCTTCAGTTGGACAATAAGAACCCCAGAGGCGCCTGCATAGCTCACCTGGTAGAGCTTGAGTCTGAGTCTTTACCTCAGCAGCACAGGGTTAGAATGGGACCTGCGGCCCTTTGCTGTGTATCATCCCCTCTCTCTCTCTCTCTCTCTCTCTCCCCTCTTTCCTGTCACTCTTCAACTGTCACTATCTATTAAAGGGAATAAAAGCCCCCATAAAAAGAACCCTATCTGAATGGACACACAGGAGCGTATTCTGGGGAGAGATTCTACTGAAAATCCAACCTGAATCCCAACATCAGCCTTTAGCCTAGAACAGGAATAAAGGCCTTTACACATCAGGGACATGACGAATAAATGACCCGAAAACACTCTGTGTGGCTGTGATTATGTCGCATCAAAACTATTGATACAGACAGCGATGCAAACTTGCGACTCATTAAAATGAAAACTTCACTCCACACACACTTAGCACAGATAGCCAGGGACCGCAGGGACTGTTGGAAAATGTAGCATCTTACAAAGCTCCTGCAGATCACAGGAGTCACACTGCAGCACCGAACTGCTTGCAGATAGAGAGGTCACACTCACCAAGGTCCACTGTCCCAGGGGGGCTCCAGTTCAGTCCGCTAAGATGTAATAATATGTTAAAACACCAAAGTCACACAAGAAAAACAAACTAATCAAGACAGTAGTAGACCAACAATTCCCATGACCTGCATAGTAAAAGTACTGGTTTTGTGGGTTTTGAAGAGAGCATGGTTAGTATAGCATAGCATAGTTGGTAAATCCCACATGGCAGTCATGTGCATAGGGAGCCATTGTCATACCAAGTCACTTTTGTCACATTGTCTTTGTTTGTTTTGACAGTATGTGGTCTTAAAGTGTGGA